GAGATTTCTTTAGCTCTACTGGCGATGAAAGTTTATGGTCAAGTTTAACAAGTGGCTTGTCTGGTTTTTCTACTACACTGTCTGCAAGATCAGTTAATAAATCATATGTCATTGGCACATCTATTAACTTATCTGGATGTTCCTTTTCAGGAGATTTCTTTAGATTTGCTGGCAATGAAAATTTAGAATCAAGCTTTTCAAGTGGTTTGTCTGGTTTTCCTACAACAACTTTTGCGTGCTCACTTGGTAAAGCATCTTTTGTTTCTACTCCTTTTAGCTTAGCTGGATGCTCTTTTTCAGGGGATTTCATTGGCTCTGAGCGCGATGAATGTCTAAAATCAAGTTTGTCAAGTCGTTTGTCTGGTTTTCCTAGGAGAACTTCTTTATAGTCAGGTGGTAAGACATCTATCGTTTTCACATCTGTTAACGTATCTTGATGTTCCTGTTTAGGACATATCCCTGGCTCTAAGGGCGATGTTATTTTATATTCAGGTTTATAAAATGGTTTTGCTGGTGTTCCGACGACAACGTCTGAATGGTCAGTTAGTAAGGCATTTGTTGTTTCCACACCTATTAACTTGTCTTTATGTTCCGTCTGAAAGAAATTGTTTACCTCCACTTGCAAAGAAATTATAGATTCAAGTTTGCCAGATTGTTGCAGTTTAAGGATGTCTTCGTGGTCAGATTGTAAAGCATATGTCGTTTCCTTACTTGTTAACTTATTTGGATGTTCTTCTTCAGGAAATTTTTTTACTTTTACTGGTGATGAAATTTTAAAATCAAGTTTGTCAAGTGGTTTAGTCTTAAGAAGATCGGAATGGTGAGATAATGAGGCATTAGTTGTTTCCACACTTATTAACTTATATTTTTGTTCCTCTTCAGGAGATTTCTTTGATTCTACTGGCGGGGAAAATTTAAAGTGAACTTTATCAACTGATTTGGCTGATTTTCCTATAAGAAATTCCTTGTGCTCAGGTGGTAAGGCAGCTATCGTTTTCACATCTAATAACTTAGCTGGATGTTCCTTTTCAGTAGATTTCTTTAATTCTACTGGTGATGACAGTTCAGAAACCAATGTATGAAGTGGTTTCGTTTCCAGAATAACTGCATAGTCCGGCTGTGAAACGTCTGTCAGTTTCACATCTCTTAATGTGTCTGGCTGTTTCTTTTCAAGTGTTTTGCTTGTTGGAGGAATGTCCTCATAGCCAGAGAGTAAGGCGTTTGCTGTTTTCACGCTTATTAACTTATCCGGATGTTCCTTCGCAAGAAATTTCTTTAGCAATACTGGCGATGAAAGTTTAGAATCAAGTTTGTCAACTGCTTCTGTTTTGAGAATGTCTTCTTGATCAAGCTGAATGGCATCTGTCAGTTCTGGATCTATTAACTTATCTACTGATTTCGCGTCGATTATTTTTTTGCCTTTTTCCTCAATTAAATTTTTTATTTCTATTGGAGATGTTAACATGGAATCGGATTTTCTAGTTGATTTAATCATTTGACATGGGACGACAGATTTTGGTTTTAAATTAAGTTTGTCTACTTCGTCTAGTAAATTTTCATGAAGAAGATCTTTTTGTTCGATTGGCGAAGACTCTTTATTTCTCATTATTATTACTTCATCTAGATACTTTTCTTCAATAGGTTCCCTTACCTTTTCTGTTGATATGCGTTTGTCACTAGATTGTGTTTGCTGTACTTGTGGAAGATACATTTTTTTAGTTGGTAACACCTTTATTCTTTCTATATGGATCGCCTCACGTAAATGGTCTTCCTCAGATTTGACAATAAGTCTCTGGTATTCAAATTTAGATATGGGTTCATGGCCAAGTGACGGGACGTCTATGGATTTTGAAACGCTCTGCCGGTCTGCGCCTTTGTCGTCAAAAAGGTCGCGTGATTTTTTTGGGGATATCAATTCGGAATCGTACTTGTCAGAAAATTTTTTGGATTTGGACTCAAACGCTTCTTTATCGTTTGTCGATAATATATCTGTTAAATTCATATCCATCAGCTCATTAATTTGCATTATTTGGGTAGCTTCTGCTACTGGAACATCTTCTCTTCTTCTTTCGATTAAGCTATCTTCCCTTTCATCGTCGGAGCTGTGGTCACGATCAAGATTAGCTATAGCTGTAAATGATATTTCGTGACAATATTTCCTCCCAAATTGTTCTACTCTTACGTCAGGCGGAGTGATTTCGCTTGGTGTATGAAATTGTGAACTCGAACTTGAACCGTCTTCGATTTCCGGTTGACCTGCAGAATGGTCAATAACTGAGCTTGTCTTTATTGACTCTAATTTTATGAGGCTTTGATCTGCAGGCCTTTCCGTTACCATTGTGATATTAATGGTTTTTTTTTGCGTCAGATTTAGTTTCCAGAGACTCTGGAAATTCCCACCTTTCTTTATACTGCATTACCTTACCTCTTACTGTACTACTATCCCAGATATGCTTATCAATATTATCTGAATACGTCATTGTTGTTGGTTTATTAATAAAATATTGTTCTTGTGTATCACATACTTGTGTTCTTGAGCTAATTGTAGCTAATTGACAAGGTTCAACTATGTCTTCAGTCTTATGTGTTCCTGTGTTATCCTTAAATTCAGTTTCATATATATTATCCCTAATAAATTCCTGAGTTTTATTTTTGTCTAAATCACCTTCGAATATCTTGGCTATCTTGCTAATCTTACTTTCAATGTACACGGTTTCTTGGGCTTTTGCTACAATACTATCTGTAGTAGAACTACTTCTGTTAATATCAATATTTGTTTCACAACGTGAAACTGAAGAGACTGGAACGTCTGACGTTTCTTTTGTGTTTGTTTCTATTTTCATGGACTCAAAGGAAGGCGGTTGGGCACTGGATAATGGATATCTTCGTTCAAATGATTGTACAACATCCTTAACTTTCAGTATACTTTCGGTTTCATCATCGCAAATTAATCTATCTTCCTCAAACTCCTTTGCCTCCGACTTCAACAATACATCTTCCGTTGCAACATCAAATGACTTTTTTTTACGACAAATTTTTTCACAGACAACTTCTTCAATATTTTCCATATTCTCCGCCTGTGTTTCAAGAGCCTCCGTTGGCGAGAATTTAATTATTTCAGTCGGCGGTTCGCTGGGCGTAAGACGCATTAATTCTATATCGATTGCATTGAAAATTTGTTCTTCCAGTACGGGTAGATTGACATCGCGTTTCTTAGATTCACGTGAACGCACTGCGAAAGGCAAAGCTTCTAAACTGGTACTCACTTTTTCTTTTAATCCATGCGCGAAGTGTTTAACAGTCGTATGTTTTTGTGGTGACGAAGTAGATAAGGTTGCCCCTTCACCAACTTTACTTATGTTTTGTAACTCCTCCAGCTCGAGTATTTTACGTCTAACTCCACCAGAACTCATAATCTCATCTAAATATTGAGGATCACTCATTGTAATATCTACATTATGATCAGCATCCGAGGCTCTTCGAGCTGATTCTAGCTGTGTTGATTGTATTAAATCATTTTCAGTAGGGCACCTTGTTATTGTTGATATTAAATTGGTCTTTGCGGGACTACTTTCGCTCATTTCTGCAAATGGTGAAGTGTCTTCGGTTTTATTAATGGATAAATCGACAGGTGATCCCTCCTGCGGAGTGGGCAACTCGGCAGATTCAATTAATGTTGTAACCGTTACCGGTTTAACGCTTTGAATGCTGAAGTGCTCTGTTAGCTCCAATAAATTTATTTAGATAAATATATATACGATGGTCGAAAGTATCCGGAATCGAACGTTGAACAAAAGTGCAGAAACATTTTGAGTATATATTAAGACATTTGTAACCACAAATACTAAACATGTACATGTACACACTAAATGCATACACATATATACATAATTAAATGTATATATATATATATATATAAATGCATATAATACTACATAAGAAGTGATGCTGTGTATTATAAAAATGCATGCACATTATTAGTGTCTATTTATTAGACAAACAGACCTGCCTTACCTTAAATCGAAGTGAGTCAAAGTATCTCCATTCCTTTTCAAATTTTGGAAGAATAACCCAGGTGTTGAAAGTCGTAACATTTCAAACCCACGTTAAGCAATTTTCCTAAATTCAACGCATTCTACTCTCAGTATTAATAACTTCGCTTGATCCAAAATATTTGGAAAATGCTTTAATTGCGAAGGCTTTTCTTCACGAAGAGTACAAAACTCAAACAAAAACTATTTAAAATTGAAAAGACAATTCTTTAACGAGTAGCCAGCCCCCTTAGGAGATTAGAAATATTCTAATTGATTTATTTTGCAAAATGAACACGTTTCCTTTCCAGAAATATAACTCTGTCAATACAAACTTTACGGTATACTTACTTAAAATATATTATCTATCTTAATGTTTTATGGACGTAACTGGGAAAACTTTTCTCTCGTTTTTATCCCTTTATCTAACCGTTAAAATTAAGTTACAATTTCAGAATTTCACACAGAAGATTAAAATCAGCCTTAAATATTTCTTTGCTACTTTCAGCTTAAGTCAGGTCATAATTCAGAATGAATTAAGAAATAATATTCTAAAGTCCTTAAAATCTAAACTAAATCGGACACAGGAATTACCCGCACGGACGATGCAAAATATAGTTTATTGCTCTCAGTTGCTGGTAAAATGCGGAAATATACGATCTGAGTTATATATATGATATACACGATACGCTAAACGTTCGGAGAACGTATCTTCAGTCTTCAAGTATTACAACATGAATTCTTCCTTTTTAGTTAAGAGAACAGCCCTATAGGTGCTGACACAATAAAAACATAACTTAAAATTTATAGTATACGTTGTATGCGACGTCCGATGTGTATTTACTATGTGAATCTTCGCTCGATTTCGTTAGTCAATATTACAGTTAGAAAAACCGTTAGAAATGCTGTTAGATTGAACGGATTAAATAAACTGTAGAGATACTTTTTAATCAGCCTTTCTTCAAGAATAATATATGTCAAAACCGTAGCTTTCTGTAATACTAAATTGCCCTAGTTAAGATCTGATTATTTCGTTCCGGAAGTTTTAGGGTTGAAAATTATAACAATTGAAAGAATGTAATAAAAAATTATAGCTCACTTCGATTTAGGCAACTAATATATATATATAGGCTACTTATATATATATATCGGCTGCTAATATATATATATATATATATATATATGTTTCATATGCTCGTTTGTATATAAACCAAGTTGCATTCTTTAAGCAAATCTGTTTTCAATTTTGTCTTTAATTAAATAATTACATTTTTTTTAAGTATGTAATATGATTAAGCTAAGCTAACAAATAACATTAAATATTGAATGGATGTTTTGAGGCGATAAAGGAAGTATATGTGTGTGCGAATCAAGCCACCATAAAGCTCCTTAAAAATAATCTGACAAAGCTGCTGATGTATGCTGAGTATTTAAATGTTAATGAACATTGCTATACGAGGTCGTGGATTATATAAATAAACTCACATAATTACATTTTGAAATATATCATTTAAAATTGATTAATACGAATCGACAAAACGGTACAGTTTTTAAAGGAAAAAATCGCACAAAATTTTCTTTCATCACAAAAAATAAAACCATTCTTTCGAAAATTTCTTGATGGTTTGGGGCACACCCTCATCTACCCAAGCACTTTACAGTTCTTTTTTTTTTAAATAAAAGTGCGTGTTAAAAAAAAAAAAAAAAAAAAAAAAAAAAAAAAAAAAAAAAAAAAACACTTAAATATAATACAAAAATATGTATCGGTTTGTTTTAACATCGAATCGTAGAATTCAACCGTACAATGTAAACTAGCTTTGACTGACATTGAACTAAACTAAAAACGGGGGCATTTCAATTTGATAGACATTTGAATTATATCGATATAATATATTAAGTTAGTTAAGTTTGCGATTCCGATAGGCGAATATGATAAATGAATTCAATGATTCAATTAAGCGTCTCCGAAAACTTTGAATAACGTTCGAAAAGCAATATCCTTTTTTGTTCTTATTATATTTTTCACTCAATTCATTCACGATTACGTATATATTATGTAAAGGTAATTTAACTGACAAAAAATTCATTTGAAAGCATTATATATTTATTTAGATTGGATTATTCCAGCTGAAAACGTTTGCAATTCTTAATGTTTCTCTTCATTTTAATGGGATCGAGAAAATTGTATATAAGTACATGCGCCTAATTCAGAGGTAAGTCAACAGGTATAAATCATTATTGAGTTCACAATGCTAAAATATTTGATTATCACACGCATAACCACGACTTCATATAACATTTGATTTATAAGAAATAAAAAAATAACAAAATCAAATAATAATTAAAAGGTGAAAGCGAAACAAAATACATATATATTTATATAAATATGTATAATATTATAGATGTACGATTAATGATATATGAACATAAATGAATGTATGTGTATATGAATGTGTATATATATATATATATAATAATGTTTATGTGTGCTATCACATGTAAACATATATAATAGGACAGCATGATGTAAAGTTCATGATGCGTAATATGCTTTTAGAGTACAATTGCCGAAGGAGTAAGAAAATAAAATTAGAAAAAAAAGGAAAAGGTTTTCAAGAAAGTGCAAGTGCGATAAATTAAAAAAATGAATAAATAAATAAGGAGTCAATCGCTATGGGACTTGTCTAGCCAGCAATAATCTTGCCAGCGGATATGAGAAAAACTAAGTGACCTGCAACGATTTCTCTGGTATCAGTCAATCAATAGCTGCGCTAACATTAAGGAAGGATCTGTTTTTATTTTTTCGACTGTGCCAGTTATTTCCCACACAGATTATATCTAAATTAAAATGCAAAATGCAAATTTCGTTTACATAAATATTTCTCTAGCGCCCTCAAAGTCGTTATTTCGATGAAATGCAAAGCTTATCCACACCCTCGAATCAAGAAATCGTGGATGTTTAAAGTTTGAAGAGACGAGATATAAATTTCAGTTGACTTCGGTTAATCTAGTCATATCCATTGCAAGCTCGTAATAATAGCAAGATAGAATGAAGATCTATTCACTCTCTATATCGTATCGTAGACATTGTACAAAGTAGATGCGAGTGTGGCGGTGTACTCCCCCTTATTTATAAAAGGTTTTTTTTTTGTTGGATAATTTCCTGGACGAATAATTGCTTCAGTTTTTAAATTTCACATAAAGATTTTCCTAATGAGAAACTTAAAATCTAATCTAAAGCTCTCTACATATGTGGTCTTTATTTTTAAAAACGATGAGATGTGCCAGTATTTGTTTCTGGCCCATGGACAAATTTTACAAATTTGTTGAAACAAGTTTGATATGAAAAATTTGGATCAAGTGACGTCGTACAGGAGAGTGACTTTACAGGAGAGTGACCAGCCGAACCGGCAGATACCTAGCCGCTAATCACGTCGATCTAGCGGATATCTGCTTTAATTTTCGATTCACATATTTAGGCGTCATAAGCGTTTACCAAAGCTACTATTTACTCCCCCTGATAAGCATGAAAAACATTAAGACCAAGACTTAAAAAAACAAAAACTTAATATTCATCTTAAAAAACACGTCATCCAAAATTTCAATTCAAAACTATTTCACTTGTACACTCAATTCTCTATTATTGGAACTTGCATTCTGATTTAGACTTCATTTTTTGCTTTCATCTTTCATCTTTGAAGAAAATCGCAAGTTAAAACGACTAAATTCCACTTGGGTCGAATTTTGTATACAATCATTATTAAAAAAAATTTCATTAAACATACTTTGCTTGTTTTCTTCTCTTTAAATAAATATTGAATAAAATTTTACCTTACTTTACTTTATGATAATGTTATTATAAATGATAGCATAACGGATTTGCACTCTGTACAACAGCGGCGAGTACAGTTTGAGCTTTGATTTCTACTCCGGGGAAAAAGGATTTCGAAGAAAAAAAAGAAAGTTACAAGGCTTCCTTATGAGCAAAAGACCTATGAATTTTTATTTCAATTACTTCTCTTTATGTACGTGGTATGTGATTTAACCAGTAGGAAAACCAGTAGTAAAATTCATTATTTATGTGCTCTCCGTAACAATATTCGCTTAACTTAAAATGGTTAATCTATTAACTGCGTCGATCTCTTTGGAAAATGTGTCTTCGAATTGCGTCTCGAATTGCGCTTTCGAATTTAGCGATCACAATTATTATTGTCAAATATAGAGTATGTATAACGTGAAATTATGTTGTAATGAAATAACTTGACAAAATGGCATACATAAATTCTAAAATACATTGTTGTGACAATTATGACATATTCATAATAATAAAAATTTTATGAGGAAATCCGGCAAAGACAGATAGACGGATCATGACGTATATATATTCGTTATAATACAGTATAATACAATATTTTGCACTTTTTTCGTTCGACATACGCAGTTAACTGGTTAAAAAGCTGAATCATATTATAATAAAAAAATAATTAAAGCAATTTTTCAAACACATATAGCTTATGCTGGCTCGAAGTTTTACCAGGAGTGCTTCATTTATCCGAATTATCCGAATGTAACGTTTCTATTTGTTATACTGACATTGGTCATTGTTTGATTAATAACATTCGGAAGAACACTTAACAAATACTATCAAATATATGTACGGGCGGTAGCCCCAATATTTTAAGATAAT